AAAGGGAGTAAGACAGTCATAACCGGATCACGAGACTGCCCGAGCTCCGGGGCGCAGAGCACGCCGCTGGCGTCCTTCCTGGGGCTGGGCGAAGGAGCCCCCGTGTGCGCAGAGTTCGGAGCCCGCAGGAACCGCCACGGTGGCTCCCGGTCAGGACGGACAGGGCTGTCGCCATCTTGGGTGCCCGGGGCGGTGCCCGACGCCCGCGGGCTGGCTCCTTGGACGCGCAGGCCCGGGGTCCCTTCAGGCGCGTTCAGGGCGGCCGCAGGTTCCTTGGTCGCCATTGAAGGAGCACTCGTCGCAGGGACGACCCCCTGCCCCCCGTGGAGGCCGCACGCACAGCCGTCGCCCCCTCTGCGTGAGGAACCCTCGGGCAGGGGGGCGTGCAGACACAGACCTGTGCCCCCGCCAGCTGGGGAGTGCTTGCTCCATGAGAACAGAGGCCCCGTGTTGCTAGATATTCCTGTTTTTTTTTCCATCCAAATGTCTGGCGAGTGTATGCTCCACGGTTCTGTCTCGTCACAACAAAGACTTGGAGTGACGGACATTAAAGCCCCCTCGGCGGGTCACAGCTCTCGGGTCTCGGACGGACCGTGTTATAGCTCTCAGGTCTCGGACGGACCGTGTTACAGCTCTTAGACAAATCAGTGTTACAGCTCCGTGTTACAGTTCTATTTTATTTAGAAGATAGCAGGCCTATCCATCTTTGAGGCGTGAGGGCACGTTGATCCAAAGATGCAAAGAGAAGAGCGCCCCAGCACGTGGGAGAGAGGGGGAGGGGGGAGGGGGGGAGAGAGGGGAGAGAGGGGGAAAGAGAGACTTTTGGCTTCTCTTTTTATATGTTTTTTTCTTCCCCCGGGGCCTGCCCTATGCAAATTGCGCTTAGTCAGGAGTGCTGTTCTACCTGAAGTCCTCACTCTGGTCCTTGGACCTTCGTTTGACCTTCTTTTGTTCTATTTTTTCGGGCTTTTCCCTTCCTTGTCTTTTAGCCACCGCCATTTTGGACTCCTTTTTCCCTATTGTAACTACCTAACACAAAGAAAACCCAAAATTTATGATATTTATAGATCTCTCAATTTTTAAATATTGGGAACTAACTTTGAAAATAGGGCCACCATTGACCCATGAACAATCAATAGAGCACTCAGAAATTTCAGTGGTGACTTCCCTTCTCAAAGAGGCACAGGTCCCGGAGGTTTTATGGATGAATTCTGTCAAAACTTTAGCAAACCATCCATCCTTTTTCAAGTGACTTCAGAAGATAGAGAATGAGAAAGCTGCCCCGCTCATTGTACGAATTTCAAATGAGTTTGGAGGGACACGCCCACAGGCCGTAACAGACACACGGTGTGCGTGCCCTGTAAGTGTAAAGCCCGGATGGAGCCATCAGTGGATGTTGGGCACATAGGCTGACCCTCGGGGAAGACAAGCCGGACCCCCTTCCCGTGGACAGAAGGTCTGAGTGTCTTCACGGTAGTATTTGGCAGAGGATGCTCTGGACCCAACTATGTGCCCCAGAGTCACCTGCTGAAGCCCTAACTACCTCCGTGGAGGCATTTGGGAGGGGGTGGGACTTAGGTGAGGTGGGACCCCAATGATGGGATTAATGCCCTTATAAGAAGACACGAGGGGGCTCCCCTGTGGTCCAGAGACTGAGACTCCACCCTCTCAATTCAGGGGCTTGGGCTCAGTCCCTGGTCAGGAAACTAAACACCATGTCCTGCAACTAAAGATCCAAATAAGACCTGGCGCAGCGAGTAAGTAAATATATATATTCTTTAAAGAAGACACCAGAGAGCCTCTCTCTCTGCCGTGTGAGGGTACAGTGAGAAGCAGCCAGACATGCTCCTGAAAAACACGGATGAAACAGGATGGGTTCTGTGGCATGGTGCCGCCTGGGGTTTAAGGCACACACACCTCAGGATTCCATGTTGTAAGAGAAAATGTACAATGGAAGGTGGAGGTGGTCTAGTCGCTCAGTCGTGTCTGACCCTGCGACCCCATGGACTGTAGCCCACCAGGGTCCTCTGTCCATCGCATTCTCCAGGCAAGAATACTGGGGTGGGCTGCCATTCCCCTCTCCAGGGGATCTTCCCAACCCAGGGATCAAACCCACGTCTCCTGCATTGGCAGGCGGATTCTTTACCAATTGAGCCGTCAGGGGAGCCCCCTCTCAAATCTGAGTACAAGCGGCAGACCTCAGGGAAGAAGGGAGAAAGGGAGACTCTTTAATGAGAGCGATCCCCACTGCTGTGAACTCAGGGCCACAAACCTGCATCTGGGGTTTAAGACGCGGATGGCTCCCAGCGGTGCTGGCGTGACCGTCGGAAGCAGCGGGGGCCACGGCGCCGCCCAGGCTGGTCTGAGCCACAGCAGCTCCCTTCTGCTGGGCCCTGGGGTTTGGGGCCACGCCAGGCCCCCAGCTCCATGTGGTCCAATCTGGGAGGCCAGCCGTCCTGAGAGCAGGTTTGAAGCCGAATCACAGAGGCTGGAAGGACTTGGCTGATATTTCACCCCAGGAGTGGGGGGGGGGGGGGGTTCTCTGACCCTCAGAGAGAACGTTCCTAATCTGCAGAGGTGGCCCTCCAGAGAAGGCCAGGGCCAGGGTCTGGCTTCCGCCAGGATGGGGACAGCAGGTGGCAGGAAGCCCTTCACGGCCCGGGAGGTGGCAGCGCGGTGCGGCCCTCCCGGGGTGGATGCTCCGGGCGCCGGGACCAGGCATGCCCAGCGCCCACCCCAGGGCCGGGGGCATCTCAGGGCCGAGGCCCCCCCCTGCCCTGGCCGGCTCCTTCCCTCCTAGCCTCAGGATTGTTTTCCCAGGCACCTCGCTCGGCGGCCTTGGCCTCTGGCTTGACTGTGGTGGCTTCGGACGTCTGGTTTCCAAGGTCAAAACAAGTAACTTACTGGCAGGATGTGCTGTAAACATTTACTTGCAAGTCAAGAATTAGCCTTGTTTTAAAATGGCACTTGGGCAGTGGGGTTTAGATTTAAAATAAACAAAAACCAAAATGCCTGTGCTGTTGGAATTAGCTGTGATGAGCATTTAAACTACTTTTGGGCTGAGAATAACAAGCCCAAGATGGAACAGCTCCGTTTGCATGATTTTTTTCCCCAGAAATGTACTGAGTTGGGATCCCTCAGTGCTGTTTTTTAATTGAGGTCTAGTTGATTTGCAATATTATGTGTTCCAGGTGTGCAGCATAGTGATTTGTGGTTTTTAAAGGTGATATTCCATTTGTAATTACTACAAAATACTGGCAGTATTCCCTGTGTTGTGCGATGCATCCTTGTAGCTTATTTATTTTTTGCATAGTAGTTTGTACCTCTTACTTCTCTCCCCCTACATTGTCCCCCCTTCCCATTGGTAACCACTAGCTCTCTATCTTTGAGTCTGCTGTTTTCTCATTATATTCACTAGTGTGTTGTATTTTCTAGGTTCCATATATAAGTAAGATTATATGGTATTTTTTTACCTGACTTAGCCTAAAGCTCTCCAAATACATCCATGTTGTGGCAAATGGCATTCTTGCATTCTTTTTTATGGCTGAGTAATACTCCCGGGTTGAAAAGACCCTGATGCTGGGAAAGATTGAAGGCAGGAGGAGAAGGGGACAACAGAGGATGAGATGGCTGGATGGCATCACCGACTCAATGGACACGAGTTTGAGCAAGCTCTGGGAGATGGTGAAGGACAGGGAAGCCTGGCGTGCTGCAGTCTGTGGGGTCACAGAGAGTGGGACACGACTGAGCAACGGAGCAACAAAAGCAACAACAGCATTGCGTCATATAAACACACCGCGTCGTCCTCATCCGTCCCTCTGTTGGTGGGCACTTAGGTTGCTTCCACGTCTTGGCTGTTGTAAACAGTGTCGCTGCGAGTGTTGGGGCGCACGTGTTGTTCTGAATCAGAATTTTCTCTGGTCCCGCTCCCAGGAGTAAGATTGCAGGATCATATGGCAGCTCTATTTTTATTCTTTTCCGGGAACCTCCATACTGTTCTCCTAGTGGCTGCACCAATCTGCATTCCCACTGACAGTGTCGGGGAGGGTGGGGCTCAGGGAGCTGAGGTGTGCCTGCAGGCAGAAGCGGGACTCAGCCAAGCAGAGGAAGGCGTCCGCGCGGGTCGGTCTGGGGGCTCCCGCGCCCCACCCTCCCTCACCTGCTCCTCCCTCCTCCTCTTCCAGGGAGATGAAGAAGCGTTTAAATAGACGAAAGCAAAGGCTTTCAGACGTGTTTATATTTCCTGGGCTCGGGGACCGGGCGGGCGCAGGCAGGTTGGGTCCCTGGCTCTGTGTGTGTTTCCTGGGGGCTCCTCCACTGACCCATTTCCCAGACCCTTGAGAACCCCCTGCCCAGGGGGCCCAGCGTCATGCTTCTCTTCCGGGGGACGTGTGCCCGGGGTGGGTGAGCCCCCCAGGGATGGTGGCTGGTGGTTGGATTTCAGTGTCTGGACCCTGGTCTGAGCACCTGGTTGCTGTCCGGAGGAAGTAAAGGCTCCTGGGCGGACATGGCCGCTCCTCTGGTCAACAGGACGTCCCCGCCTCTGCGCACCCTGGTCCTGCTCGAGGGTCCGTTTCACACCAGGCTCGGGAGACAGAAAACCCGGCTGCCCGATGGGCACACCCCGCGCCAGCCTCGAGCCTCTGTGCCCGTCGAGTGAACAGTTGAGAGAGTCTGGTTTCCTCCCACTTCTGTGTCCAGCATCTCGACTCCCTTAGATGGAAAGTGTTTCCCTGGAAAAAGGTAGAAAAGGGATCAGGACTGGTTGCTGTGTCCTCGTGGGAACTGTGCCCATCTGCTTTGTCTTCTGTGAGTGGAGTCTGTCTCAAATGATCCTGTCTTCGTAAATCCTCAGGCCGTGCAGAGCAGGGGGCCTTGCATCCAGGGCCAGCAGGTCCCCGGGGTCTTCAACCCCTCCGAGCCGGGGAGCAGGAGCCGTGGGAGGGCAGGGCAGCCCCCAGCGCCCCCGTGGCCCCCACACACCATGCTTTCTTTTGCAGCGACATATTTGACGCCATGTTCCCCGTCACACACATCGCTGGGGAGACCGTCATACAGCAAGGTACGCCACCCGCTTCTCCTCCTCAGGGCCGGAGCCCCTGCGAAGGGTTGGTTCTTCACTTACGAATATATTTGACTCTCATTGTCTGTCCTTGAGACGGGTCACTAGGACCCTGCATAACAGTCCACATCACAAGTCAGTGTGTGTTAACACGTTCTGACAACCTCGGCACTCAGTCCTTCCTGATTCTTTACGACCCCATGGACTGCAGCTTGCCAGGCTCCTCCGTCCATGGCATTATCCAGGCAAATACTGGAGTGGGCTGCCATCTGCTCCTCCAGGGGATCTTCCCGACCCAGGGATCGAGGTCGTGTTTCTCCTAGATTGGCAGGCAGATTCTTTTTACCACTGAGCCACAGGGGACCTTCTTGTCGTTAAAAAAATTGAGGCACTGTGTTGAGTCCTGGTGACTTGACGGCCGTAGACTTCAGACGGCAGCGGTGTCAGGAGAGGATGCCCTGCCAGCCTGACTGTGGTAACCGTTTCCCGACGAGTGTGAAGTAGGTCACTGTGTTCACCACCTTTGTACACACAGCTTTCACTTAAAGATTTTTAAAGATGGATGAGGCCCAGCCTTGCTTGGCAGAGATCTAGGAAGTAGCATCGTAAGATGGTCTGTTAGCAGAAGGACGAAAGCCCGCCTCCTCATTTCACGTCTCTGTTTTCCTTCCCTTGCAGGGGACGAAGGGGACAACTTCTACGTGATCGACCAGGGAGAGGTGGATGTGAGTATCCCTAGCGTCCTCTGGACGGCAGCACCCGTCCGTGCCCACTCTCAGGTCTAGAGAAGGTCGTTCTGGGTGATGTGTTTCCAGTTTTTCAGTCTAGAAGCAATAGAGTTCAAGTATACGATACTGCAGGCACATCCGAGCAGACAGTGGGGTAAGGGCGGCTGGTGTCAGCCCGGCCACGGCCCCTGCCGTCAGGTCCTGTGGAGTCGACCGTCATCCTGGGGCCCCGACAGGCAGCGCTGCTGCAGCCAGGAGCCCACGACCCAGCAGGCTTCCGCGGCCGCCCGGGCGCTCACATGCTTCAGACGCCCAGGGGCCCTGTGGCTCTGCCTTTGTGGTGGAACCAGGCTGCGTTCCCTCCTGGGATGTCACACCCTCCTCTTCTGTTCTGTGTCCCCTCTTTACTGCCCAGTCTCCAGTGTGGGAAGCCCAGGCTCTGTCTGGAGAAGCACCTCCTCCATTACCTGGCCCTGGGCTGAGCCCTGACCTCCCTGGGCCCCACGCGGGCTCCTCCGAGCGCGGCTCAGCCTGAGCTGCCGTCTGCCCTCCCGCGCCCTCTCCTGCCTCCCCGTCGGCTTGGTGAGCCTGTCCCCCACGCGGGCTGCCAGCCGCCCGCCTCCCCTGAGGTTCTGCCTGTGGCCCTGATTCAGTCCAGCTTGCGCACTTGATCCTGGGGCGTCTGTTTAAGGCTGGCTCCATGCGGGCTGGAGCTCCCTGCCCCCCAAACACAGGCTGAGTCTGTCCCGGGGTCCCGCACAGTCAGGATGTGTCCTCGAGGCCCCTGTGTCAGACCTGGGCCCAGGACACCAGTGCTGGGGTGGCAGTCCCCACACCCCGGTCCAAGCCTCCGAGAGATGGAGCCCGCTGGCTCCCACCGCCTGCCCATCCTTGGGGCGGCGGCCAGCCGGGCGTCTGGGTGGGGGGCACTTCCTCCACGTCCCCCAGCAGCGAGTCTGTGTCCACGCCGCCGCGGCCCGCAGCTTCTGGGGGTGGCAGTGTTGGTGCCTCTGGGCAAGCCTCACGGGCTCGGGTTTCTCTGTCCCGGGCTCGGGCCTCCGGCGGGGGCTGTCCTGTCTCCCCCGACAGAGGAAACTGAGGCAGGAGCCGGAGGCCAGGGCCCTGGGGGAGGTGGTGGGGGAGGCCGCAGGCTGGGCTCCGACCCCGGTCACAGAGCCAGCCGCAGAGAGACAGGCTGCAGCACCTTGGACCCGGCCGCCCGGGGCCCCCGCACAGTGTGGGCACGCCGCCCGGGCCCAGGTCGCTCGGGGCCTGAGCTCTTCGTGCTCCTCCCACTCCTCGGCCTCTGCGTCTCCTCTCCTCTCCTCCACCCTCTGTCTCTCCCTCGTTTTCTGGTGCAGATGTCCAGCAAGCACTTGTCCCATGCTGGGCGCGTGCAGAGCCCTGAGGATGCACTCCTGGGGACACGGCCCTGCCCTCGGGGTGCGTGGGGGTGGGGGCGACAGCCGAGAAGGCAGCTCCCAGTGAGCCTCTGGCCGTCCTGTCCCGTTCTTACTCCTGCTCTGCCTTGCAAACTCCTGTCCATCCTTTAAGACCCTGCAGGGCTCCCCCAGAGCCACGGGGCTCCCCCAGAGCATGGGGCTCCCTGAGAGTTGAGACGACCAAGCTTGGGTTCTCCCCAGCCAGAAGATGCGGGCACGGACGCCCCGTGGCCCAGAGTCCCGTCCTTGTCTTTCTAGGAACCTGAAGGGTGTTGGGGTCCCTTGAAATGTGCCTCCCGGCCCTCATCCTCCGTGCAGACCTGGGCCTGCACGCCTGAGCTGCGTGTTACTCTCTGTCCTCCCAGGAGGTTAGCACGGAGCCCTCACCCCCGGCTCCCAGAGTCCAGACACTCCGGCCCCGTGGGCAGACGCCGCCTCCTGGCTGTAGCCTCCAGCTCAGGCCGTCAGCCCAGATGGGGCAAGGTGGTGACTGCGAGGCCGTCCCTACATTGGCCTCAGAGGCTCCTCCAGCAGCTGGTGGGCTCGGGGCGGGCTGGGAGCCTGTGGTGTGGGCCGTGGGGGCGGCCGTGTGTGGAGGACCAGAGGTGCTCCGTCAGGAACCCGGGGGAGAGAGTGGCCAGACGCGACATAACCCTGGCAGTCATCTCTGCTCCGGGTCTGAAATGCAGCTTCTCCCGGCCTGGAGCTGTGCTTCTGGCCCTGCCTTCGGGGGTGGGGAAGAGACCGTGGACCAGGGACTGGCTGCGTGTGAGGGTTCCAGGGGCCTCTGTAAGGGTATGGGGAGCAGAGGCCGGGTCAACTGCATTGTGACCCTGAAGCCCCCAAGACCTGGGCCCCCCTCGGAGGTCCCACTCTGGCCTTTAACAGGAGGGCCTTGGGGGTGGCCATCCAGAGCCCCCCGCCCAGCAGTTCGCTGGGGGAGCGGCTGGGTGAGCGGATGCCAGAAGCACCAGCTCGGTTTAAATTACGGTTTTCCAGGGAGATGCGGACAGTGCCAGCCGCAGCGTGTGTACCGCCGAGAGCTATAATCCGTCCTCCTAAGTATAAAAATATCTCCCAATTTGTTTTATTCATGGAACATAGCATTTCCACTTGGAAGGGCACTCCACGGCCAGCTTCGTGGCTCAGGAGCGCTGTTCCTTCCCACCCGGCCGTCCAGGCACCTGGTGCTTTGGGGCCTCCTGGGGGGCACCTGCTGCACCCGGCTCTGCCCCCGCCCAGGGCCCCTCCCACCTCACCAGACGTCTGTGGGCACAGCCGCGTCCAGCCTCCAGAGGTGGGGGCGCCTTGGGGGACGGGGCACCCCAGGCCGTCTGGCTCCATGGGTCACGGCCGGTCAGTCTGCTTGCCTGATGTTCTGGTTTTTATTTTTTAGTCGGTAAAGTACACACACCATAAAGGTTGCCGTCTTAACCTTTAGGTGTCCAGTTTGGGGCCATGAGCACATTCACGCTGTTACATGGCCCTCCCACCACCATCTCCAGAACGTTCTCATCTTCCCAAACTGAGTCTCTGTCCCCATTAAAGTCTAACCTGGGGCCCTCCCCCAGCCCCCGACCCCATCCCCTACATTCCATCATCTCTGTGGACCTGACACCTCCAGGGGCCTCGTAGAAGCAGAACCACACAGTGTCTGCCCTGCGCTGGGCTTATCCCACTGAGCGTCGCCTCCCCAGGTTGGTCCACGCTGCAGCAGGCGGCAGAGCCCCGGGCCTGTCCGCCGAGTCATGGGGAGGACCCCTGTCTTGTTCATCAGCGATCACGCCCGCCTGTGTGGTTGCCGCCGTGATCGGCACCGTTGTGGACGATGGGCCGTGGGGGACCTGGGCGTCCTGCTCTGGGTGCTCTCTGCTGACTGGTCACTTTCCTGGGTGCAGGGCAGCTGTGGCCCCAAACCAGCTGTGAAGCTTTCCTGCAGCATCTCACCCACAGGGGGCGACTGGGGGCCCTTCACCCTTTTGGGTCTCTGCGGGGGTCCTGGAGACCCCATTGTGGTCAGAGGCTGCTATGGACTTGGGGGACAGGTGACCCAGAGCCCCCCGTGGTGCTGGTGCCATGACAACAGCCTGGGGAGGCACCGCCCTCAGGCACACCCCGTGCTGGGCCCCTGACATGCTGCACGGTCACCCTGGAGCATGCGGCCCTGCAGACAGTGTGGGAGCCCGATGGGGTCCTGCCTGTGGACCCCCGGGGAGTGTGAGGTCTGCGGGGGAGGGCGGGGGAGGCCCGGGAGTGTGGCGGGTCCATGGAGGGAACCGAGCTGGTGGCCAGTCACTTGGGGAGAGGATGCTGATCCCACGTCGTCACCCATGTGGCTCGGGCTCTGCAGACGGGGTCCAGCAGGGAGACTCGGGGAGCTGCTCTCAAGCGAAACGGGTCAGTCAGCCCCCTACCCCGCCAGGCTCTTGGGTCAAAGAGGCCTGAGGCTCATGACCTGATTTATCCTGGAAGAGCAGCCGCGGACCTGGACTCACCCGCCCGGACACCCCCACTCTTTGTGGCCGGAGTCCAGGATGCGGAGGAGCTGGGCCATTGACTTTTTCTCATCATCTGTGGAACCAAAAACAACAGCGGCTGGCACGCCTGGCTTGCTTCCTCGCCCCGGCGGCTCCGGGTTACGTGGGAAGTACCTGCAGGAGGGGTGGGTCTGAAGTCGCAGGACACCACCCCCTCCAGTGAGTGGATCTCTCAGTGACTGTCTCCACTCACCCAACAGCTGCTTCAATGGACTTTCTATTTTCTGTGGCGTTGCGTGTTGAGCTGAAGTGTCCTTGTGGGTGGGAGCAGGCGGGCAGGCAGCCCTGTGTGTCCCGGCTGTCTGGAGTGGTGGGGCTGGGACCGTCTGAAGCCCCCTACTGACGGTGGTTCTGCTTTGGGGGTGTCACTAAGCAGATTCCTGCATCTTCAGCCACCACCTCCACCTCTGCCCAAAGCTGGGACGCGAGCTGGTCCGTGGTGGGCGGGCGTCAGCCTCAGCTGCCGACATCCTGGGCCGGACCCCTGGGGCACTGAGTCGGAAGGTTGTTGTTGGCGGGCAGGTTTCCAGGTAACGCTGTGTATCTGGTCTGCTCACCACCTGTCGAGTGACCTGGTCGAAGTCTGGGGCACCCCTCACTGACCATTGCTGCCCTCTGGATGCCCCGAGCTGGGCTCCAGCTGTCGCAGGAGGTGTGTTCTGTGTTCTGGCAGGTTCAGCCCTGCCTTCAGTGGTCCCAAGACACACCTCTCCCCGCGTGGCCTCCCCTCGTGGTCTCTCCGTGTGGCCCCCTCATGTCTCCCCGCGTGGCCTCCCTGCGTGGCCTCCCCACGTGGCCTCTCCGTGTGGCCCCTCATGTCTCCCCGCGTGGCCTCCCCGCGTGGCCCCCTCATGTCTCCCCGCATGGCCTCCCCGCGTGGCCCCCTCATGTCTCCCCGCGTGGCCCCTCATGTCTCCCCGTGTGGTCTCTCCGCATGGCCTCCCCACGTGGCCTCCCCGCGTGGCCCCCTCATGTCTCCCCGCGTGGCCTCCCCACGTGGCCTCCCCACGTGGCCTCTCCGTGTGGCCCCCTCATGTCTCCCCGCGTGGCCTCCCCACGTGGCCTCCCCACGTGGCCTCTCCGTGTGGCCCCTCATGTCTCCCCGCGTGGCCTCCCCGCGTGGCCCCCTCATGTCTCCCCGCATGGCCTCCCCGCGTGGCCCCCTCATGTCTCCCCGCGTGGCCCCTCATGTCTCCCCGTGTGGTCTCTCCGCATGGCCTCCCCACGTGGCCTCCCCGCGTGGCCCCCTCATGTCTCCCCGCGTGGCCTCCCCACGTGGCCTCTCCGTGTGGCCCCCTCATGTCTCCCCGTGTGGCCTCCCCATGTGGTCTCCCCTCATGGCCCCCCATGTGGTCTTGATGCACACGGATCCGAGTCCAGTCCTGCCTCAGACTCTTTGCACATCTTGTCCCGTCTGCCTCCAGCTCTCCTCACTCCTGGTCTTTGCACGGGACCCCTCAGGCTGGGCGCGAGTTTGCGTCCTTGAAAGCCCCAAATGGTGGCTCTTCCCAGAATCCTCTCCCTCCTTTCTCTGGCGCCTGCAGCTTGTTTTAAGGACAATTGAAAGTGAAAGTGAAAGTTGCTCAGTCGTGTCTAACTCTTTGGGACCCCATGGACTATAGAGTCCATGGAATTCTCTAGCTGGAATACTGGAGTGGGTAGCCTTTCCCTTCTCCAGGGGATCTTCCCAACCCAGGGATGGAACCCAGGTCTCCTGCATTGCAGGTGGATTCTTTACCAGCTGAGCCACCAGGGAAGCCCTTAAGAACGATCACTTCTGGATAATCATTGCCCACTGGTGGTCAGTAAGCCCCTGTGAACTGGAATCCGTGTGCTTTCCACTGCTGAAGCCAGCGGTGAGAACACGCGGGGCACCCCGGGTGCTGGGGTGACCTGGGTGACAGCGACTGAATGGACCAACGGGAACAGCGGCTGGGGGCGCCAGGTGAGGCTGGAGCCCTGCAGCAGTGGTGGGAGCGTGGGTGCAGCCCGTGCAGCCCCCCACCACTCCCCTCTCACCAGAAGGAACAGCAGAAATGAAACGAAGCCCGAAGGAGCCCCTGTGTGTGCCAGCCGGGGTGGGCCGGGCACTGCGCGGCTGTGCTGACAGCAGCCAGTGTCTTGAGAAGGCTGGCCCTTTGTGCTCCGGGGGGCAGCCCGGCCCCTCCTTAGCTCCACACAATGCTTTTCTCTGATGCCTCTGAGGACGTGGCCAGGGCTTGGTGAGGAAGGGGGTCCTCGTGGCCCCCAGGGACGCACTCTGGCCCAGGTGCCCTTGCTGGGGTGCGTGGCAGCCGACTGCCTGCTCTTTGGGGTGCACCCTGGGGAAGCAGGGCTGCTGAGCACCCGCCCTGCTCCTGGGGGACCTTGTGTCTTCAGGGGGTGATGGGATGGCGGGCCTGCCCCACAGGCACCCGAGGCAGTGGCTCCTTCTTCCCCCGAGGCTGAGGGGATCCGCACACTCCCCCCGGGACCCACGGTTCCCCAAGGCCGTGGCACTGTGCTGACCCAGTGCCAAGGGGTGGGCGCAGCAGCACCGAGGGAGGGCGAGCTGGTGCAGATTGGGGGTGCTGCCTCACACGTGAGAGAGGAGGGCGCTGGGTCACCTGCGGGGAGGTTCGTGGCCACATCAGAGCTGAGACTGGGCGGCGTCCATTGGCCATGGTTAGTGGTGGTGCAGCCGTGAGAACCGCGGACCAAACCCAGCACTCAGCTCAGCTGCACAGAAGGCCGCGTGGGGGCCCAGGCCAGCTGCCCTGAAGGTACCCTCGGGCACGGAGTGCAGGAGGGCCCTGGGAGATACTGGTGCCCGGAGACATTCAGCGCCTGACCTGGGTGGCAGGAGAGCTCAGCGCTGCACACGTGGGCTTGTATCCAGGCAGAGAGGGCTCTGTAGACACGCGAGCCCTGCGTGCGCTCTGCGGACACGCGAGCCCTGCGTGCGCTCTATGGACATGCGAGCCCCATGTGGTCTACGGACATGCGAGCCCCATGTGCGGAGGGCCAACCATGGTCCCCAGTCACCATGACTGCCCCTTCATGGACTTTGGTCCCTTTGGGAAAACCGGAGCCTCCAGGACGCTGGGTCAAGAGCCCGGTGGACACAAACCCTGCCTCGCAGGAGGAGGTTCCCGCCTGGGGAGCCTCCCGGAGGGTTGCATGTCATCTTATCCCCCTGACACCCTGTACTCAGCGGGCCAGCCCTTCTCCCCACTCCTCACACCGCACACAGTATCACCGGCGTGGCGCCCGCAGACGGGCGATTCTGAGCCTCAGTCATGGTCGAGATAATGCGTCATTGAGTCCATAAGAATTGCTTCCATGATTCGCCGTAATCCATTCTTCCCCGACACGCACGCTTTTTGCCAATGGGAGCCATTCTTTAAGCTCATTGACACCGAGGCGATGAACAGAGGTTGTGTTAGTTGATAGTAAGCGAATCCACATAATGAACAATCCGGGCCATTCTGGCAGGACGCGGACCTGCAGTCAATGCATAGTCGCCACACTGTGCAGGGCCACCGCCCTCGCTGCCTGAAAGGGAACCTTGTCCGCCTCTGGGCTCAGCCCTGGGCGCTGGCCTCCGCTCCCATTGACTGCAGGCGTGGGCGCTTGGGCGCTGCCCGAGGGGTGGGGGGTCCTGGGGACTCCGGAGGCTTGGCTCCTCCTGGGCTGCGGGGCCCGCGGGTGGAGGCGAGCAAGGGCCCGCCTGCTGCGTGGAGCCTGGGATGGACGGGAGGGCAGCTTGTGATCAAGGCTGCCGGGTTGGAGGGGGCCACCTGGGTGGGGCACGCGCGTCCCGGCAGGATGATGCCTGGAGGGGTGGCCCCCACCCTGGGGCCCGGCAGTCAGCCATTTCTGGAGGAGCAGAGTGTGACCTGGCCCGGGAGGTGGGGGTCCTGAGCGGTGCGTCCGCTGCGGCCTGGCCGGCGTCGGCACTGACGGCTGAGGGTCTCCACCTTTGTACCTGTCCAGCCTCGATCCAGGCAGGGTTGGGTGTGAGGTGGGCACCTTGGCTGGTCCTGGGCAGGGCAGAGCACAGCTGCGTCCCACCGCCTGCGAGGCGTGTGGGGGTTCAGGGACCTCCTGCCCCCCGGGGGGTGCTGTGGAGGGCTTCCCCATGCAGCAAGTGGCAGTGTGACCCCAGCCCCCATCCCCATCCCTTGCAGGTGTGTGTACAGAGGGTGGGGGACCCCCAAGAGGTCCCCACAGAGGTAGGGGACCCTCAGGCCCCCGACACTGTCCCCCGTTCCCTGCAGGTGTACGTGAACGGAGAGTGGGTGACCAGCATCAGTGAAGGCGGGAGCTTCGGGGAGCTGGCCCTCATCTATGGCACCCCCAGGGCAGCGACCGTGAAGGCCAAGACGGACCTCAAGCTCTGGGGCATCGACCGGGACAGCTACCGGCGTATCCTCATGGTGAGCCAGCGAGCGGTGCCTCAGGGTAGGCTCCACCAGGGCTGGGAGGGCACCAGTTGAGTCTGACACCCGCCAAGCATCTCATAGTAACCTGGGTCGTGTCCGGCTGGGGTGAGTAGGGATGAGATGGGGGGGTGAGTGTCGAGGGGGGTTCTGGAAATTTACCCAAAGGCAGGCAGACAGCTGGGCAAGCCCATTTGCTTTCCTTCCCATTCTCCTTACAATGGTCTGGAATGTGGTTGTGATGATTGGAGCCCCAGCTGCCATTCTGTACCATAAGGTAACTTTGCTCAAGGTGGTGGAGTGAGTTCCCAAGAGGAGCCCAGCGTCTGCTGGAACAGTAGGACCACAGCCCTGGGCAGCCTGCGGGCTGCTAGGCCCCTTACTGGGCGACAGTCATTTTACATTTCCTTACGTGCAGCCACCTCCTCTCTTCACATTTTGGGTGTAGGTGCGCGCATCTGTGCAGGCCACAGTGGGGCTGTTGGGAGCAACGGGGCCAGTGTTTACAGAAGGCTCTGGAGATGAGTTCCTGGGCGGAGGGGGCCCTTCCCAGGCAAAGGTGGCTGCACCTTCCTGTGCCCACTCAGTCTCGTGCTGGGACCCACCAGGGGACGGGGAGGCTGATGTGCTGGTGGAGGAGATGACAGAGCAAACCTGGCTCCTGGTGACAGTTTCCAAAGAGGATGATGAAGCAGAAAGGGCAAGCGGGGGCAGGCCCGCTGTTTTACGGAAAGCCCTGGAGAACGCTCCCCAAGGTCCCCTGTGACGAGGTGGTGTTGAGCAGAGGCCTGCAGCGGGGAGCCCTTGGCCATCCAGGAGGAGAGAGTCTGGGCAGTGGGAGCAGCCGCTGCAGAGACCCTGGGGTGCGGGCCTGGCTGGTGTGTGTGGACCAGCGGGGAGGTGGCCAGGATGCCAGATCTCAGGGCGGGGGGCGGTGGTGGGAGGGCTGTGCCCTCCGGCCCTCTGCCCCCAGGGGTCCTGGACTGACTCCCACTACGCCAGGCGCCCCTGCAGGAGCGTGGGCAGAGGAGTGGCAAGGGCCACCGGGCCTTCCAGGTGAGGGTGGAGAGCCTTTCGGATTGGGCAGGGTGAGGGGAGCCGGGAGGCTCTGGCCGGCCACGCTGGTCTGGGGCAGTCCCCTCATGTCCCAGGTCCCTGGCCCGAGGCCCCTGGGAGCTGAGTGCTGGTTCGTCGAGGGAGTCACGCTCCTTGGCTGTTGGATGCACCCGGGGTGACTGCTGGCCCAGCTGCTTTTCCGAGCTGGTCAGGGGATTGCTGGAGGGCCTGGGCTGAGGGCAGCCCCCAGCGTTTGGTGACGGTGTCTGCTCGGAGCTGACTCCTGTGGTCCTGCGATCCAGGGGTCCTGCCAGCCTGGAGGGAGGTCACCGAGGGGACACATTGCCGGGAGACCCGGGGCTGCACGTGCCCCTGCCACGGGCCCTCAAGCCTCAGTCGCCCCCAAAGACCAGCTGGGCCCTGCAGCTTCGGGGGCTGTGGTTGCGGGCACTCCGGGACGTTTAGGATAGGCCCTGTGCGCTCAGCCCCGTCTGAGCCTGCAGAGCGGTCTCGTCCCGGGGGCCCCGCTCGAGGGTCCTTTGTGGTCAGGGAGGGCGGTCAGTTCAGTCCTGGGGGCTCCTCGACCGCACGCTCTGGGGTCGTCCGCTGGGCGCCTGCTGTGTGCAGGGGCTGTTTTAGTGCCTGGAGGCCCTGCCCTGCCCTGCTCAGCGAGGCGCGTCCTCGTGGAATGCAGCCCCCTCTCTTTGGTCTCAAACCTGCCCGGTCCTGCCTCCCCTGGAGGGCACCCTCCCCCGTGCTGGCTGCTCCGGCGCACCTGGCCCCGTTGCATAAGCCATTGTTCCTTTACCGCCATCTGCACCGAGTCGTTCTTGGCTGTGGGATTTCTGTGGCTGGAACCTTATATTCAGGGTAGTTCCCAAACCACGGAGGCAGCCGGCGCTTCCTCTGTTTTAATTCTGGATCCCTGGGCACTAAGAATAGCAGCGGCCGTGCCCAGAGCTGGCGGAGCCCTGCGTTTCAGGAGGAAAATGACAGTGCAGCCCACTCGGAAGGGAGTGTCCGTGACAGCGTCCGTTTCTGCATCAGACTGCGGCCTGGGCGGACGCGGGTGCGCCTGCTGAGCGATGAATGGACCCTGAGCTGGACATGCGTGGGGGGTGCTGGGAGGGGGCTGGTGTCTCCAGGGAGAGGACCACCCCCCTCTGAACCCCAGCACACCCGTCTAGGAGGTGGCCTTGCTCTGCGCGGTGCAGACGGATGGATGGAGCTCGGTGAGACCAGCCACACCCGCCGATTCCGAGCAGAGTGGGGCCTTCACCCCGGGGCCCTGGACAGGGGCCAACACCCCCAGACTTCTCTCCTCCAAGTCAGGACTGTCTCTCCCTGACTCTATGTGAGGCCCAGTTGGAGCTGATGAGCATAGAATCCTGGTGCGGAGGCTGGGCTGGGGCTCCAGAGCCCCACCTGCCTGGGGTGACCCGAAACCCTTGGAACCGCGCCCTGAGCCCCCGCCTCACGTGCTTGGGCCCCTGCTCCCGTCTGTGACATGGAGCAGTGGGGCCTGGGGCCCACTCCTCATGGGAGCTGGGGTGGGTGGTGGAGAGCTTCGTTTCATGCTGCAGGGCCGGCTGGGCCTTCGTGTGTAGGGGAAAGGGCGCTCGGAGCAGTCGGTCCAGCTTGGAGAGTCACCTTGCCCGCCGTAGATGCCTCCTCAGCCTGGCAGTTCTGCACCCTCCCCCGAGCTGCGCCCTGATTGCCTGGCGGGCAGGAGCGCTGTGAACGCTCTGGACTCAGGGGTCAGGGGTCAGGGGTCGGGAGCCTCCAGGGGCCTTGGGCGGTGCTGTCCAGGGTGTGTGCACTTTGGCTGGAGCCCTGCTGTCCTCTGGGACCCGGGTCCCCCGCCTGTCATCAAGGCCAGCTCAGACCGTGCGGGTGGGGCAGGGCAGGGGAACCTGTACTTTACAGACGTTTTAGGTTCCCGTCTTAGGACAGATGCTGCCCCTGGGCCCGCGGGGTGCAGCAGCAGGAGCCTCTTGCTGGGCAGTGGGTTCGGGGTGGCCTCGGGCCTGCGCCAGGCGGTCGGGGCTGGGGGAGGGCATGCCCCTTGCTGGGGTGGGGTGCCCCATCAGGAAGCGCGGTCTGCCCCCCGTCCATCTGTCGGGGTCAGTGGGGGTGCGGCTCTGCTGTGCTTGGGGGCCGGGGTGTGATGGATGGTGGCTGGAGGAGTCGCAGGGGCCTCGAGGCGTTAGGTGGTGGGTGGGGGACATAGGTGGTCGTGGCCTGACGGGACCCCAGCACAGAGACGGGGAAGCTGAGGCCGCAGGTACCAGGGAGGAAAGCTGAGAGGGGCCAGGGCCTGCTCCTCCCGGCGGCCTGGGTCCCTGTGAGCAGCACTCGGGACGCGGGCCCAGGCGCCTGGCATCTCCCCCCGTGGCCTCGGGCAGGCCCTGTCCTGGCACCGGGGGTCCATGTGGTGCCATCTCACCAGGCACGAAGCCCCCCGTGACTGCCGGCAGACAAGCCCCCAGGTGGGGGTCCTGGCCGGCCCCCGGCCTCACCCTGGAGGAGAGCTCTGATAGGAGGCGCCTTGGTCGGCCTGGGAGGCGGTTCTCACCGCCCGAGGTCCCAGGCAGCCGCCTCCAGCTGTCGTCCTGAGGCGGGAGACGGATGGGCCGGTTGTGGCGGCTTTAATGTCTGGGGTTGCCGGGCAAACACGCCTGCATTCCAGCGGGCGGGCGTAGCTGCTGGGAGGTCAGCGGGAATATAAATTATCCTTCAAAGAAACGCCTTTCTCCGGGCCAGTGGTGTCTGAGGTGGCTCAGCTCCGGCTGGGGGCTGTGCTGAGCTGAGCAACCCGCCCCCATGAGTGTCCAGACCTGCCGCCTGCGGACACACAGGGCCTCGCGAGCCCTGGGTGCTGCCGCTGACCACCTGGACACCGTGTTCCCTGCGCGGCCACCACTGCGCGCTGCAGAACCACCGTCCCTGCCTTCTTAGTCAGCTGTGAGGGGGTCTTGGGTCCCAGCCCTGTGGGGGCTCTGCTGGATGAAGGGGCCCCGGCGAGTCTCTGGGCTTCTTGGAGGCAGGCAGGGAACCTCCAGAATTCTGGAATCGAGATGCTGCCTTTGCAATGTTGATCTGGCCCCGAACCACGGAGTCACGGGAGCTGACAGGGAGGCGGAGCCCCGGGGCTAGGGGGCTGGGGTCCCCCCACCAGGCCAGTTGACTGATGTTTGCTCACCCAGCCTTCACGGAATCCTGTGGGGACAGGAATTAGGATACCCCGTTGTCCAGATGAGGAAACCAAGGCGCCCCTTCCCTTGTGAGTCTGGGCGAGGCCGTGCGTTGTGTGGAACCCTGGGGGAGCGGGCGGCCTGGGCCCCGTGGTGGCGGCCCCTCAGACCCCTGCTTGCTTGAGGGGCTTGCGGGACACGGAACGCCCTGAGGGCCTCCTTTCAGGGGTTCAGGGTCACGTGGGGATTTGGAGAACGTGGGAGGGATTGGGGTGTGAAGCCCTCTGAACACCTGCTTCTCTGTCTCCTCCCTGCAGGGCAGCACGCTGAGGAAGCGCAGGATGTACGAGGAATTTCTCAGCAAGGTCTCCATCCTGGGTGTGTGCCCACCCACGCGCCGTGCACACCTGGGACGCGCACACACGTGCTCACACACACGTGCACACACGCATGCAGTGCCCCCCCACGCTTATTGTGCATGCAGGCGTGTGGGTTCCTGTGAACACACGCATACGCGCTGTCTTGTGTCTGCCTCCATCCCTCCGTGCTGTGCGTGTCCATCTGTCCATCCTCGGAGCCGCTCTCCCCACGCTGGTCTGTCTGGAGGTCTCACATGTGCCCCTGTGTTGAGTGTCTTTCCTGACCTGTCTGGGAGTTCCCTCTGTGGTTGTTCCCCCTGCTCTTCTCGTCCTGGGGTCTGACAGACACGTCGACCGTGCCCCACTGGCAGTGGGGAGTGTCAGAAAGTGCCCCCAGCAGCATCTTTTTGCGGTTTGGACCTTGCTCTGAGGTTCAGGACAGAGCGCTGTCGTCCTGGCCCAGTCGCCCAGCAGTGCGAAGTCTCCATGCCTGTGTGGGGCACTTGGGAATTCCGCGTCGTTTTAACCAGCCGGGGTGTGAGTAAGTGTGTGTTGAGCAACTCCCATCAAGGGCCAGGAGAGCGACCTCCTGAGGAAAGTGTTGGCTCAGAGCTGAGGCCCCAGGAAACCACAGGGAATAATGGTCCCAAAACAGTTCTGGGGGGAAGGTCTCAGCCTTAAGCCCCAGGCTGGATGCAGGTCTGTGGGTGCAGGTGGCGAGTGAGGTTCAGCCTCCTTGTCTCGGAACCTGTGGGCTGAGGAGGGGAAGAAAGGAGCAGATTCTGGGGCACTAGGACGGCGAGGAGGCAAGAGCATGTGATGAAGAAGAGGCAGTCTCTTCAGTAAGTGGTGCTGGGAAAAGTGGACAGCTGCATGTAAAAGAATGAAGTTAGGGCTTCCCTGGCGGCTCAGTGCTAAAGAATCTGCCTGCCAGTGCGGGAGACACAGGTTCGATCCCTGGTCCAGGAGGATCCCACATGCCGCAGGGCAACCAAGTCCATGCACCCCAGCTACGGAGCCTGTGTCCAGAGCCGGAAGCCACGAGGACTGAAGCCCAAGAGCTGTGGAGCCGGAGTCTGCTCTCCGCAACGAGAGGAGTTACAGCAAGAAGCCCGCTCACCGCAGCCGGAGAAAAGCCAAGCAAAAGCAGCAGAGACCCGGCCAGCCAAATACGCACAGACAGACAAACCCTAAAAAGAGAAGGACATCGAAACATTCCCTGACACCACCTACCAACACGCCTCTAAATGGATGAAAGACCCACATGTCAGACTAGATACAATAGAACTCCTAGAGGAAAACACAGGCAGAACGCTCTTTGACATAAATCTAAGCAATATCTTTTTGGCTTCATCTGCTAGAGTAATGGAAACAAAAACAAGAATGAACAAATGGGACCTAATTAAACTTAAAAGCTTTTGCATAGCAAAGGAGACCATAAACAAAATAAAAAGACAACCTACAGACTGGGAGAAAATATTTGTAAATGATGCAATAGACTAGGGATGAATTTCCAAAATATGCAGTCAGCTCATAGAGCTCAATATTAAAAAAAAACAAACAACCCAATCAAAAATGGGCAGAAGATCTAAATAGGCGTTTCTTCAAAGAAGATACAGAGATGGCCAACAGGCACATGAAAAAGATGCTTCCAACTTTGTTAATTATCAGAGAAACACAAACCAAAACTACAGTGAGGTACCACCTCACACTGGTCAGAACTGCTATCATCAAAAAGTCTACAAATAAATTTAGGAGAGGGTGTGAGAAGGGAACCCTCCTACACTATTAGTGGTACTGTAAGTTGGTGCAGCCACTATAGAGAACAGTATGAGATTCCTCAATAAACTAAAAATAGAGCTCCTACATGATCCAGCAACCTCACTCCTGGGTATATATCCAGACAAAACTATAATAAAGATGGGTGTGCCCCTATGTTCATAGCAGCACTATTCACAATAGCAAAGACATGAAAGCAACCTAAATGTCCATCGACAGATGAATGGATAAAGAAGATGTGGTACATGTATATACATAATGGAATATTACTCAGCCACAAAAAAGAATGAAATAATGCCATTTGCAGCAGCATTCATGGACCTGGAGATGATCATACTAAGTGAAGTGAGTCAGGAAGACAAAAAAACCACCATGTGATATCACTTATATGTGGAATCTAAAAAAATGAACTTATTTGCAAAACAGAAAGATGCTCGCAGACATAGAAAATGAGCTTATGGTTACCAGAGGGGATAGCGGGGGTGGGGTGGGAGGGGAAATCAGGAGTTTGGGATTAGCAGACACACATCGCTATATATAAACTAGATGACCAGCAGGTGCTACTGGAGGGCACAGGGAACTATATTCAGTATCTTGTAAAGACCTGTAGGGGAAAAGTTCTGAAACAGAACAGAAGGGTGTAACTGAGTCCCTTTGCCATGCACTGAAGCTCACAGCATTGTCAACCAAGCCCGAGGGAAAGTGTTAGTCGCTCAGTCGTCTCCGACTGTTTGCAACCCTGTGAACTCTGCAGTCCATGGAATTCTCCAGGCAAGAATAGTGGAGGGGGCAGCCTTTCCCTTTTCCAGGGGATCTTCCCCACCCTGGTCTCTTGCATTGCAGGCAGATTCTTTGCCATCTGAGCTCCCAGGGAAGATGGATAAAAATAAACTATACTTCAGTTTTTATGGTTAATAAAAAAACAGGGACATGGCTGAGGATGGTCCTCAGCAATTCCCACAATGACAAGAAGATGGAAAGAACCTGCAATCTGTCATCACAGGAAGGGACGCGTGCCCGGGTGTCTGTGGCGCAGGTTTGCCTCCAGTGAGGCACGTGGACGAGGCCTCCGCACGTCAACACGTGTCAGGACGGGTCGGAGACACGTGTGTGTCTGCACAGTTTTGGCAGGCTGCGTCGAGTTTACAAAGCTGGGCTGCAGTAAAGGTGTGAGACCTGCTGGGAAGAAGCTAACCAAACCCTTTAAGATTAAAAAACAGTTCCCCCAAATCCCGAACAGCCGTGGCCTCTGGGGAAGGAGAGAGCTCAGGCTGAGACAGAGGGACTGGGTCTTGTCAGTGCACGGCGTGTCTGTGAGGAGCAGCTCCGAAGCGATCGTGGCCAAGTGGTTCTGCGATTCCATTCAGGACAGATGCTGCCTGTGTCGTCCGTTCCAATGTTCTGATTATTTTTTCCACATCACAACGGGAAGGGCACGACTGTGGAGTCAGGGCCCCAGGCGCTATGAACGGTGGGGGCAGGTGGGTCCCTGTGGGAGTGGCGGTGGCAGGCCCGCCCCGGGGCAGCCCTCCTCGGGCTTCACGGGGGGAAGCAGAGACGACCCAACCCCATTTCCCAGGGAAGAAGCAGACTGCAGGCTGGGGCGGGAACACAAGGTCTCCTGGGAGGGGAGTGGGTTGGACTCAGAGCTGGAGGGCTGTGGCTGGGAGCAGTGCCCGAGGGCCGTGTACTCCTGAAGCATCGCCCCTGGCAGGTCCCTTCCCAGCAGCTGTGCCTGCCGCTTGCTCGGCTGTGCCTGGGGGTGCCTTTGGGGTGCCTCCGGCATCTCCTGTGGGGCTTCCAACAAGTTCCTCAGCAGCATTGAGACTCCCCCAGAAGGGTGGCATTGGGGTGACCCCACGTGGGCTGACCGTCCACACCTGGAGCCCAGGGAGCTGAGTGCAGCAAAAGTGCCCTGAAGCCTCCGCCTCGGAGGTCAGGGCCAAGGAGTCGCCCGCCAGCTTCTCCCGACACTTCTCTCCCAGGGTTTGCATTGTCAGGGAGGAAGCCCCTATTCTCCGACCTTGGGACGTTCAAGGTCTCAAGTGTAATAGAGAAACCTACTTCCTGAGCCCGAGGCTGTAAAGTCAGAGGCTCCCTTGCCCTGGAAGGAGACCAAGCGCCAGTCGCGCGTTTGCCGGCACTGGTGTCCTTGCGGGGAAAAGCCGTGATCCCTGCCAGAGACGCCTGCGGTCACGCGGTGGCCCTGCCGCCTCCTGCGGGTGCCGGGTCTGGATCGCGGGGCAGGTCCCGCCCGGGGTGGCGGCTGGAGGGGAGCCTGCTGCCAGGGCCCCCCCGCCACCCGAAGCCGCTCCAGCCTGGGCTCGGTCAGAAGCCTGTCCTTTGTGACGTGGGGCCCTGGCAGGACTTTCAAGGCGAGAAATCGCCCTCCTATGCGAGACCTGAAATAGATGGTCTGCTCTCTGTTTTTAGCGGCTGACCTACATAAGTGCATCTGATGAGTGCTGGCCAGAAAAGTTTCTTTGACCAAGAAAGAAGCAATCAGGCGATCATTAAGTTTTTATAAAAGGGGCTTGTTATTATGCTTTTCCTTCCAGAGGGCTGAGAGCGGATGATGATGGGGAGGAAGGTGCGAGGGAGCGGGGAAAGGTACAGGACCTGCAAGCGGTAAACCTGCCACTGGAATGAAGTGTCTTGGCCTAAAATAATGGAAGGCGGTCCGCGACTCTGTCACAGTGTAAACTCAGTCCTGTGCTCTCTGGGCTGCTGAATGGTGTCTCATAAACAGCAAACCGCGTCAGCCTCTGATGCTGAACGGTGTCTCATAAACAGCAAACCGCGTCAGCCTCTGGTGCTGAATGGTGTCTCATAAACAGCAAACCGCTTCGGCCTCTGAATTATTTAAACCCCTGAGCAGCTTGAGCGCTGAGCTGGAATTACATTGTTCGCAAAAATCCAGGCAGCTCTGTCCTCTCGAAGATGAAAGCATTTCACCACACGTTAGGCTGGACTCTTGCCCACTGCCCTGCGTTCACGGTGTTTACGTTGAACCTGTGGTTGGCGTGGGTTATGGTCAGCCCGGGTTCTGCACCCTTGTCCGCCTCCTGGCCCCAGCTCACCTGTGGAGATGCCTGTGCATCCTGCACAGAAATTTTCTGTGTTGTTCATCCTCGTGACTTAGCAAAGCCTCATCACTCTGAGGTTGTCTGGGGAGGGGCGCTGGCCCTGGGACCGCCCCAGCTTCCCATGACCTCCCGTGTCCCCCACCCCCAGCATCCTTGGAGAAGTGGGAGCGTCTGACGGTGGCTGACGCCCTGGAGCCTGTGCAGTTTGAAGATGGAGAGAAGATTGTGGTGCAGGGGGAGCCTGGGGACGACTTCTTCATCATCACAGAGGTGGGTCCAGCCAGGGCGGGCAGGGGGCTCTGTGTGAGGGCCTCAGCCTAGGGGTGCTACAGGGTCGGGGGTGAGGCCTGGTCTGCACCGCCCGCTCGGGGGCCCACCAGCCCCGGCCCAGTGCTCCATGCCCACCGCCTCCATCGGCCGTGTGGACTGTGGCCTTGGGCCCCCACCGATGTCCTCGCCCTGGGGAACTGCGGGGTCTCCCCTGGCCCCCGGGCCCACCCCATGCAGATGTTGCAGAGACCAGACATGCCAGGCACATGTGCGAAGCTGGGGGGCCCGGCTTGGTCGAGGGAGGGGAGGGGCTGCCCCGAATGGGACGTGGGGGGGGCGTGTGCATCCTGGCGGGGGAGCGTGTGAGCTGGGGGCCTGGGGGGGGGTCTCCCCGCATGGCCTCTCGTAGCCATGTGAACTGGCCGTGGTCCCCGGTTGAGGTTGGTGTGAGAGGTGGGCGCCAGCTTCCCCAACCTGGGCCCGTGTGAGTCACCGTCCGGCCTGCTGTCCCCCCACAGCGACAGCTGGCTCCACCGTAATCCATGGCGGCCACGCTCAGCCTGCCGCTGACGGGCACGGGCAGCTGTGGGGCTCTGCGTCCCCCCACCTGGGGCCAGGCTCGGCTGTGGTCCCCGGAGAGGAGCCACAGCCGCCCCGGGGTGGATGGGGTACAGGGGGGAGGGCGCCTGGCCGCGGGGCCCACCCCGTGACGCAGGCCCGAAACTATGTGAGCCTGGCTCCCTTCCTGCTGCGCCCGCCCACCCGCCGGGAAAGCACGTGCTCTAGCCCCGCACACTGCCCTCGGAGATCAGGTGCCCGCAGCACCGCGGAGGCGGCAGAGGGGGTCCCTGAGCTGTCCAGGGAGAGCCGCGCCCGCCTGAGGGCAGTGCAGAGAAGGCGCAACCCTGGGGACAGGCGGCCCGCACCCCCAGACTTGGAGCCACCATCTCGGTTTGGAACAGCGGAAGGGGGCTCCCCAGCTCTGCTGCGGGTGAGAGCGCGCGTCCTCCCATGGGCAGTCCCCTTCTGTGCCTCGGGCCACACGCTCACCCCGTGACCAGGGGTCCCAGGGGGCTTGCTCTGGACTCCTGCAGAAGCCCCTCCCGGGAGAGTGCCTGCGGTTCTTCCTGCTGCCAGCCCGGCTGCTCCCACGAGTACTGTCGGAAGGCTGGGGGTCAGGAGAACCACCCTGGGAGGGTCTCGACGGGGCCCACACGAGCTTCACAGTGTGCTTTCGGGAACTGGGGCCCTGGCCGCCTTCCGGTCCACGTGCCAGGCACACCGGAGCCCCAGGGCTGGGGAGCCGTCCACCTGCAGCCTTCCTGTCCTGGGGCAGGTGACTCATTCGACAATCATGTTTCTTGAAAGAAAGGGAAAGAACCCCAGACAGAACAAATTATGATTGCTGCCAGCGAGGTCTCCACTCCATAGACCGAGAGACGGCAAACCTTGCGTGTCGGCTCCAGCCCTGGCTGTGACTTCAGAGAAGGCCCCCGCCTGCTGGTGCCAGAAGTGAGCCCACGGGTGGAAACCTCAGCTTCACTCGGAGCATTTGCAGGCCTTTCCTCGCAGGACTCAGGCTGTGTGCCTCTGGGTCCCTGTTTTACTCTCAGATCCTCCTGCAAGTCCTCAGACACACCGGGGTCTGGCTCATGTTTTCTGGAGGACGTTCTAGCAGAAAGTTACTCACATTCTCTGAACACAGCCAAGGAGGTATGTGGTGTGCACTGGCCTGCACTGTGTGTTTTCTTTTTTGAACATTTGAATTGTCAATATTTAAAAATCAGGCTGAGTGCCAACGAATTGATGCTTTTGAACTGTGGTGTTGGAGAAGGCTCTTGAGAGTCCCTTGGACTGCAAGGAGATCCAACCAGTCAATTCTAAAGGAAATCAGTCCTGAATATTTCTTGGAAGGACTGATGCTGAAGCTGAAGCTCCAATACTTTGGCCACCTGATGCGAAGAACTGACTCACTGGAGAAGACCCTGATGCTGGGAAAAACTGAGGGTAGGAAAAGGGGACGACAGAGGATGAGATGGTTGGATGGCATCACTGACTGGATGGCCATGAGTTTGAGTAAACTCCGGAGTTGGTGATGGACAGGGAGGCCTGGCATGCCGCACTCATGGGGTCGCAGAGTCAGACATGACTGAGCGGCTGAAGAGCGACCGCAATCGGGTGTTTCACCTGAGAACCTGGATCAGCCTCTGGACCGGCGTCTGCCCGGCCGCAGTCGCTGCCCAGGTGCCGTGCTGCGTGCCTCGCCCCTGTCCCCACCCCGCCACCTTGCCTCGCTGTGGGCTCTGCACTCACTTGCAGGCCATTGAGTTTGCAGCCTCCGTTCTTAAGGTCTAGAGGCTGAGGGGATGAGAGCTATTCTCTGGGGCCAAGGGCTCCCCGTTGGGTCTAAGGCCGCGGGTGGAGAAACCGCACCGCTGTGACAGGTGGCGTGGAGGGCGTCCTCGGGGGGCCGCAGGGGCCGTGTGCGCCGCTGGCCCAGCCCGCGAGGGCGCTGCCCCTCCCCTGGGAGCCTTGGAGAGCAGGCGGCGGGCCCCAGAGGCTCCACGTGCGTGGGACCCTCGCCGTGGGGTGTGGCTGTGTGTGTGCACACGTGTGTGTGAGTGAGCGCTGTGAGTGGTGTGAGTGCTGCTTCCTGTGTCCCGGGGTCCCTTGGGTTGACGCCCTTCAGGCAGAGGGTGGGTGTTGCTGACTGCTTGTCTCCGCTGCCCGGGGCTGGGTGTTTCTTGGCGCTTCCATTAGAGGCCGTCAGAGCCGGGCTCCGTGCTCGTCTTCGGGGGCACAGCTGGAGCTGCAGTGTGGTCTGTGTTCCGTGGAGCGGGCTCCCAGCAGAGGTGGGGCAGCGGCCTCCCCGGGGGCCCTGATGCCTGCTGCACAAAAGCTGTCCTGGGGGGCCTTGGGAAAGCGACTCCAGGCTCTTTGGGAGCTCGGCTGAGTGACTGAGGGCCCCCTCCCCCCCCACTGACTGGGGTGGTGGGGGTCGGGGGAGTGTGTGGGGGTGACTCCCAGGAACCACGGTGGTGCTGGCCCCAGAGGGTAACCCAACCCCCTCAGAAGGTATGGCTTTCACAGCATTGTGAGATGTATTTGAAGTGGTCTCCTTGGCAACTTGGATATTTTTTGCTTTTCCTCTGATCCACCAAACTAGGGGAGTCACGGTGGGGCCTCAGGGTTCACAGGCGTCACGGGCTCAGAACTGAAAGGCAGGCTCGGAGCGTCCGCGGCCTCACGCCGTGTTTCCTGCCTGTGGTCCCGGCCACTTCTGAGTGGGCACGGTGTCCCCCAACGCGAGCCCACCCTCCCCTGAGCCCCCTGTGGTCCTGATTCCTCTGGAGGATGTGCTGGCACCTCTGAGTAGATTCCTTATGCATGCTGCGTGCGTGTTTGTATGATTCGGTACAGTGTTGGCCCACGAAGCAGACCGCTGGAAAGGAAAGGATGTTTGCCCTGTGGATGTGCTGGGAAGGGCCCAAGCTGCTGGACCCAGGTGCCAGTGGGTCTCCAGGTGTTTCTGCAAAGGTGTTTCTCTGATGCAGTTGACACTGACATCCGCTGACCTTGAGGCCGGGCCCCCAGCTGCCCAAGGAGTGGGGAGTGTGGACTGGCAGGCCCTGCCCCTCGGGGTGGACCTGAGCCTGTGCCGGGTGCAGACTGCCCCTGGCTCCGCTGCCGCTCAACCCCGCCTTCCGCCAGGCCTCTGTCCGCCCCCTGCTCTTCGGGTGGGGGTGGGCTGCTTTGGGGGCTTCGTCCCAGGTGTGAGGGGCTGACAGGGACCCCCTCTTGCACAGATGTAAGGACTGGCTCCTGCACACAGTGGACGCGTCATTACCAATGCCTCCGGGTGCCATCCGGGGCTCGGCGGGCCCCGGGGCCTCTGCCAGGCCTGTGGTGGGCGCTCCTTGTTTCTGGGCTCTGAGTCACACCAGCTGTCTCTGAGGCCGTGGGGGTCTGCCAGCCCCTTGGACAGCGGACCCCAGTGCCCCGGGAGCGTGTGCTCCAGCGGCCAGAGCAGGCCTGCGGTCGTCAACCTGGGGCCGCTTGGACATGAAGACAGAAGGCACAGTGGTCTTCGCGGCGCCTGGCCCTTGGCCTGCAGCTGTCTGTGGCGTCCAAGGCAACCCCACCGCTCTGGGACCCCTACTAGTCACCGAAGGCCTGAAGTGCCTGGCGGCCCGAGGGGTCTTGGCTGCCGACAGCAGGAGCCGCGGGGCTCCTGGCAGCATCTGCAGGACACAGCTCGGGGCCTCCCCAGGGAGGGGCTGGCAGGCGGGGCCCCAAGAGGCACACAGGCTGCCTGCAGCCCTGGAGACTCAGTTCACCCCCGGAAGGCTCTGGGCGCAGGCGGGGCCTGGCCAGGGTCTCAGTCTTCTTGGACACGGCCCACTCTGTGGGTGACTCCACGCAGCAAAGCCTCAGGGGCCTGCGGGCAGCTGGGCAGAGCCGCTTCCCTCCAGCCCGCTCCCGCAGCCAGGAGGTGTTGCCATGGAAACCTGAAGTTGGACAGTCTCCTCTCTTTGCAAATCACTTTTGTGAACATCCCTGACGTCGAGCGGCCACTTTGAAGCAGCCTCTGGAGGGGGCTCTGCGTTCACTGTCATCTTGGGAACTTTTAGGGAGACCCCCAAAAGCCACCACATGCCGAGCCGAGGTCACGGCTGCTTGTGACCCCGCCCGCCTGCGCCCCCACTGTGCACCAGGCCGAGGCTCAGTGCGGGGGCGATGGCCACCGCTGGGCAGTGTGCAAGGTGTTCGCCAAGGCGGGAGAACCCCTTGCTGCAGACCCGACCTGGTCCCACGCAGAGACGAGGAGGCCAGGGCGGAGCTGTGCCCTGGGTTTCGGTGGGCTGCGTGCAGATGTGGGAGTGCAAGTCCTCCAAGTGGGGAAGGTGGGCGGGATGTCCAGAGGAAGGTCGGGCCCAAGGCCAGGGGGGCCGTGGGGTGGGCGGGCAGGCACCGGGGGCAGACCGGACCAGACCCCTGCC